CTGGATAGGTGCGGACCTAACAATTTCCCTTGCGGTATCCTTTCCACTAGTCGGGCTAATCCCGGAGTTTGCCTTTAACATTCATTTTTGGCGTCAGCGTAACCTGGCCCTCTATTGCTCCAGTTTCCAGTAAAAAATCGGTTTACAGCGGTCTACAGTGAATTTTTCCACTACAGAAAATCGATCCATGAGCTGGTTCTTCACTCCGTTCTGAGCATTCACAAAGTCAATCAGAAAGAAGACCCTATTTCTAGGCTCCATGCACGTGTCACAGTGAGGTGCAGAAGAGCGTTAAACTGTTCCCCGTCCTTGGTGTGGGAAAAAGAGTATTTTAAGCAAGAAGGGTCATGGTAAGCCACATATGCCTCTTGTCTCTACCCTTCCAGAATCATTAATCTGTTAATAGAGAACGTCTGTATTTACCTCTACTAAGCCTTCTTAGGATCAAAAATGGCTTATTGTGCCTAAAAACGGTGAAGCCTTACCGGAGACAAAGAAGCACACGTTAAGAGGCAGCCAGCAGACAGCCCATATAATGAGCACACAGAGTACAAGTCGAGTGACTTTTCGTTTGGCACGACGAGTTTCAGGGCGTGACCTGATTGAGCCGTTCATCTGCAATAATCGTCAAGTATTTCTGAAGGAATATTCCATCAACGTATACAGAAAACCCATATGGCACAGCGCATTCAGCAGGCGTTTTCTTCCGAAAAGTCACTTCACAAGCGCTTGGAATAAGCAGCATTGACACAGCTCTTATGGGCAACAGTTCAACTCTTCAATAAGTTTGGAACCACCACAGATGGAAAATTCGGAGACTCGAAAGTTACAGTTACCACCAGGATAATTATCAGATGCAGAAACTAGGTCTCCCCTTGTCGACTTTCGTACTCCCAAAATGAAAAAATCGATGTGAAAACCCAGCCAGACACTCTAAAGACTTCCACATCTGTAGTGGATAGGACTCTAGATTTCTGTATTTACACATTGGAGGCAAGCGCAAATAAATGCCCCACAAAACTTTGATCCCCTGAAGAAAGCAGAGCAGAAGGCCTGGAAACATTTGACACGCCTCAGTTGCGTGCCACCGCACGCGCCATCCCCCTTCATCTGAAGGCTCGTGTAAACGGGGCAGGTGGCAGATCTCAATTCTATTCTGGAATTACTTTGAGATAAGAGTTACAAACTTCCCTGAAGTTTGTTTGTTCTATGCGTTTTTAACGACACAATGTCTTAGGTCCTCATAATTTTGTCCCACCCTGCACACATTTTTGCCAAATAAGCGAGCGCTTGCATTCCCTTAACGTAGAAGTGTGTGGACATGAAAAAAATTCCGAAGCTCTTGTCCATATCGCGCTGGTTTTCCACGCATTTTCCGCGCAAAAAACTACCCAAACGCTTGAATTAGTGGAAAGAGTAAGTGAAAGGACATCTGAGTACGGCGGGTGGGGCAAAGTCTTGAAACCCAGCTCGTTTAATGTTTGCAATGTTGTTTATATGTATGTGGCCGGGAATTATCATGGAGTAGGATTGGTCCTCTCTGTTCTCCAATGC